CAAACTTGACAAAAACAAACAATGGAGAAAGCATCTCCTGTTCAGCAAATGATGCTGGGAAAACAGACTAGCCATGTGCAGGAAACTGAAATTGGACCCCTTCCTTATGCCTTATCCAAGAATAAACTCAAGATGGATTAAAGACTTAATTGTAAAACCCCAAATCATAAAATCCTAGAAGAAAACCTAGGCATGACCATTCAGGACATAGGCATGGGCAAAGACTTCATGACAAAAATGCCAAAAGCAAGGGCAACAAAAGCCAAAATTCACAAATGGGATCTAATTAAACTAAAGAGCTTCTGCACAACAACAACAAAAAAACTATCATCAGAGTAAACAAGCAACCTACAGAATGGGAGAAAATTTTTGCAATCTATCCATCTGACAAAGGGCTAATATCTAGAATTTACAAGGAACTTACAAGAGAAAAAACCCCATCAAAAAGTGAGCAAAGAATATGAAAAGACACTTCTCAAAAGAAGACATTTATGTGGCCAAGAAATTTAGAAAAAAAGCTCAACATCACTGATCTTCAAAGAAATGCGAATCAAAACCACAGTGAGTTACCATCTCATGCTAGTCAGAATGGTGATTATTTAAAAGTCAGGAAACAATAGATGCTGGTGAGGCCATAGAGAAATAGGAACACTTTTACATTGTTGGTGGGAATGTCAATTAGTTCAACCATTGTGGAAGACAGTGTAGCCATTCCTCAAGTATCGAGAACCAGAAATACCATTTGACCCAGCAATCTCATTACTTAGTATATACTGAAAAGAATATAAATTATTCTACTATAAAGACACATGCACATGTATATTTATTGCAGCACTATTTACAAAGCAAAGACATGGAAACAACCCAAATGCAAATGCTCATCAATGATAGACTGGATAAAGAAAATGTGGCACATGGACACCATGGAATACTATGTAGCCATAAAAAGGAATGAGATCATGTCCTTTGCAGGGACATGGATGAAGCTGGAAGCCATCATCCTCAGCAAAGTAATGCAGGAAGAGAAAACCAAACACTGAATGTTCTCACTCCTAAGTGGGAATTGAACATTGAAAATATATAGACACAGCGGGGAACATCACATACCAGGGCCTGCTGGGGAGTGGATGTTAGGAGAGGAAACTAAAAGCACAGGTCAATAGGTGCAGCAAACCACCACGATACACTTACACCTATGTAACAAACGTGAAAATTCTGCACATGTACCCCATTTTTTGGTTTTGTTTTCATTTTTGTTTTATTGAGATGGAGTCGCCAAGGCTGGAGTGCAATGGTGTGATCTTGGCCTGCCAGGTTCAAGTGATTCTCCTGCCTCAGCCTCCCAAGTAGCTGGGACTACAGGTGCCCACTGCCATGCCCAGCTAATTTTTGTGTTTTTAGTAGAGATGGGGTTTTGCCATGTTGGCCAAACTGGTCTTGAACTCCTGATCTCAAGTGATCTGCCTGCCTCAGCCTCCCAAAGTGCTGGGATTACAGGCGTGAGCCACCGCACTCGACCCTGTTTTTGTTTGTTTTTTTTTCTTTTTCTTTTTGGTTTGTTTGCTTTTTTAAAGAGGAAGTAAAGAGAAAACAAAACAAAACCCAAAATTATAAAAGAGCCCATGATGAGCTCGGAAGGGGAGCTTAGGGATGGGATTCCTTCATTCTTGGCTTTCTTGGATATGCCAGTTCCTGAACACACTACTGTAGTGTGATTACCTGCCCACGGTTCTTCTCTCCTATTCCTCATGGGCTTGGAAGGCAGAGTTGGTGTCTGCCATGTTCTTTGCTCTATCTCTGGTGCCTGCCCAGCGCTTGGCACATAATAGGTGTTCAGTAAGTACTTTTTTCTTTTTTGAGACTGGGTCTCACTTGTTGCCCAGGCTGGAGTACAGTGGCGCAATCCCGGCTCACTGCAGCCTTAACCTCTCAAGTGATCCTCCTACTTCAGCCTCCTGAGTAGCTAGGACCACAGGCACACTTCATCATTTCTGGCTAATTAAAAAAAAATTATAGCGATGGGGTCCCACTATGATGCCTAGGCTGGTCTTGAACTCCTGGGCCCAAGTGATCCTCCCACCTCTGCCTCCCAAAGTGTTAGGATTACAGGCATAAGCCACCTCACCCAGTTAAAAAATACATTCGAAAGACAGAAGAGGGTATGCCTCACTTCCCACCTATTCAATATTTAAAATACCCCAAATGAGTCATTATTCCTCTAAATTTTCTCACCCACTTCCTGGGCCCTTTAAGTTGCCCTGTGCACCAAGCTCTGGAAAGCCCCTTCTCTTCCTCTGTCTGCAATCTCTAAGTGTCTAGAGGCCCACATTTGGTCCTGCTTCCCTTTTGGCTAGGGTTGGGACACACACACCCAGACACACCTGACCTCGGATTTGCTTACAAATCCAAGCTGGCATGAAGAACGGTTGTTTCAGGGTCTGGGCAGGGCTCTAGGTTGAAAAATACATTCTGCCCACCAAGCTTTCCCTGCAGCTGCGTCCTTCCTCTCATGGTGCTGTGGATTTGGTATTTCCCCCAAGATGCTCACAAGCTCGTGTAGGCAAGGGCCCAAGTAGAGAGTTCCCAGCTCACACTTCCTTTAAAGATCCTTCCCAGGCCAGGCATGGTAGCCCATGACCATAATCCCAGCACTTTGGGAGGCCAAGGCAGGAGGATCGCTTAAGCCCAGGAATTTGAGACCAGCCTCAGCAAAATGGTGAGAACCCATTTCTAAAAATGAAATAAAGACCTTTCTCATGCCCAGGAATATACAATCACCAGTTTGAAAATGTCTGCTCCCCCAGGGTCACAGGGAGAGGCTTCTGGGATGTTGGCAATGTTCTCTCGACCTGGACAGTGGTTACAGGATATTTGCCTCATAATAATTCATTAAGCCAGACGTTGCCGTCTTATGTACTTTTCTGACTGCATCTTGTATTTCACAATTTTAAAAAAGGCAAAAAAAAAAAAATTCCTCCATTCCATCCCCAAGCCCTTAATCCAATCGATCAATGTTTAAGGGGCACCTATCTGCACCCAGCCCCTACTAGGGAAGAAGATTCTTTTTTTTTTTTTTTTATAATCACAAAAAAGTTTATTTTAATCAATAGACTAAGCAAATTAAATAGCCTGACTATGTAAAAGAAAATCTCTGAAAAGAATATGCTGCTTTAAAATATTGTATTGCTTTGGTTTAACTGATGTTCACATCAAACATAAAAAATATGACCACAAAAATGCTTTGAGGTTTTCTTTTTCAACATTTGTACTTTCTTGCATTTTGGTAGTCCTATCAAGATCAAATCCAGGAATGAAAACATGCTGCGAAATGATTGTTCTTGAGAAAGACTGTAATCCAAATGCAAAATCTGAAGTTCAAGAATTCGTAGAAAAAAAATCTATATTGGCCTGTGTATATTGGAAGAAGTGACCATCCTGCCTTAAAACTAGTACTTAACCAAGTTACTGGGTAACTCAGGTGGGGTACCATGAAATAAGACATGAAATAAAGCATTCTTTATTTTCAAAGAAGTTTCCTAAAGGAAGCAAAAATAACTGGAAAAACACTCAATCCAGCTCTGAATTTTATCTGGAAAACAGACCATGCTGTCATTTGGAGGAGTCCCGAGATCAAGGAGGTGGTGGGGCTTAAACTGGGCCTGAGTATATGGGTGGGATTTACTAAGTGGAAGGAAGCATTACAGCTGAGGCAGCATTGTGAGCCAAAGCTGTTAAGCGGGTCTGAGGCTGTGTGTAGAGGGAGGCCCCAGTAGTGAAGAGTTCATGAGTGCTAAGTCTGGCTTGAAGAGCCCTTCCTGCTCTTCCCAGCCCCAAGCACAGGCAGGGTGGATGCCACTTACAACATATGCCTGCTTCAGCAGGGTAGAAGCATCTGAACCCTTGTGTAAGAATAGACATGTGCATTTCACATTCTTGGTTTGTTGTTTTGCTCAAGTCACAGGCCCATGCAGGCTCATAATCTCCATCCTAGACAGACTGGAAGTTACGTCTGCCAGACACATTACATGGGCACATGCATTCTTGCAGAGGCACTTGCTCAATCCCTGACTTTAACGCTGCCCCACCCTGCAGCTGCCTTCATGTCCCAGCACCAATGAGCTATTAGAAGTGGGGATGCAGGGAGGAAACACGAGAACTCAGGACTGCAGATTCAGGCACAAGGATGTGTGACAGGCTATGAGATAACTTCCACCTCATCCCCAGTTCAGAGCCCTGGGATTCAGAAACTTCCCCCACCATCACCTGAGGCTGTGGGCAAAGGTACCATGAAATGTTGTGGGGAGAAGGAGGGTCACTAACTCCAGTCAGGACAGCTAAGTTTATTACAAGGAGGTGAGACTAGAATATGTTTCCACTTTAGTGAGTGGAAACCTAATCATTAGATTTCGTGAATGGAAACTAATCATTCATATGTATCCTGTACACACAGAACAACTGTGATGAAGAGTGAGACCTAAATCAAAGGAGAACAATAATGATAGTAGTGGTCATGATGATAATAATAACCAGACATGAAGCTTAACTCTGCCTAGCATTATGCTAAACCTCTCACTTCTTCCTTTTAATCCTTATAATAATCCAGTGATGTGGCTGCTATTATTTTTATTATACAGATGAGGAAACTGAGGCCTTGAGGGGTATACTGCTTTGCCAAAGTCATACAAATGGTTAAGTGCAGAACTAGGATCTGAATTCCAGCAGTCTGACTGCAGAGCCCACACTGATGCCATGGAAGCTGGCAATGCCCATTAGGTCCTGTCTGGGCATAAAGAGGATGTCCTCCCTCATGGGCTGGAACACAGCATCCCCTGTTGTGGGTGTGGCTGTCTTAAAGACCATCTGGTGATTTTGCTTGTGCTGGTTTCTTATTAAACAACCTTCAGATTTGGCTTCATGTGCAACTCACATAGAGGGAAAGGAGGCCATGATCCACCAACATGACAGCTGTATTTTTTATTAGTAAATTAGCAAACAGGCTGCCTGGGTCCCCATGCGTAACTGTTAAAGTGAGCCCACCCCAGAACTGAAGGCTACCATGTGCCAACTTAACTGAGATTCTGAGTGCAAGAATAACCTCGGTCATGGCCTTGGGTGCCAAGGAAATCCCTCTTAGCCTCCTCTTGGCAGATTTGGCCAGCCTTCCCCATTCACAGCCTGGTTCTTTGGATTCAAGCTGCCTGGTCAGACTGCAAGGGTCATCTGTACAAAGAGGGAAGCAACAGTGCCAGGTTCCAGCGTGCATTCCAAGTTCTACATTCTGTGTGCAGACTCCCAGTGCCAGAGCAAAGGCAGGCCCCTGGCAGGGGACTGTTAAGGCTTCACCTGGTATATTTCTTCCTATATACACATAACCTGGGGCTTCCTGGACCTTGTATTCTCTCTGCTTTCATTGACAGTGGTTCCTAAAGCTGGTGAGCATCAGAGTTACTCAGGGAGCCTTAAAAACAAAAACAAACCCACTATTGACTTACCTTATTTAGGAGCAGAAAATTCTTTTGCTCTAGTTACAAAAATGCAGGGGTTTTTGTTGTTGTTGGTACAACCTAAAGTAATGAGGAGTTGATGGGCTAAATAAATTTTCTTTTTGACTTTCAATGACATTTCATAAGGTTGAACCCAAGGGCTTGGTCTTTGTCACAAACACGGAGTGGTTTTTCCACTAAGTTTGGTAAATGGTACAGCTTTCTGGGAGAGCATTTGTGTGTGTGTGTGTGTGTGTGTGTGTGTGTGTGTGTGTGTGTGTGGCAAAAGCATATAACATAAAATCTGCCTTCTTAACAACTGTTAAGAGTATGGTACAGTACTGTTAATTATATGCACATTACGGTACAGCAGGTCTCTAGAACTTTTTCATCTTGCATGACCAAAACTACACCCATTGAACAGAACCCCTTTTTCCCATTCCCACCCCTGCAACTGTCATTCTATTAATATTTCTTGCTTCCATGAGTTTGACTACTTTAGATAACCCATAAGTGGAATCATGCAGTATTTAATCTTCTATGATGGGTTTATTTCACTCAGAATTATGTCCTTAGGCCAGGTGCAGTGGTTCATGCCTGTAATCCCACCACTTTGGGAGACTGAGACAGGTGGCTCAAAAGGTCAGGAGTTCAAGAGTAGCCTGGCCAATATGGTGAAACCCTGTCTCTACTAAAAATACAAAAATTAGTCGGGCATCATGGCAGGTGCCTATAGTCCCAGCTACTTGAGAGGCTGAGGCAGGAGAATCGCTTGAAGTCAGAGATGGAGATTACAGTGAGCCAACATCATGCCACCGCACTCCAGCCTGGACAACAGAGCAAGACTCTGCCTCAAAAAAAAAAACTTATGTCCTCCAGGTCCATCTACGTTGTAATATGTGACAGGCTTTCCTTCCTTTTTAAGGCTTTATATATTCCATTTTATGTATATACCACATTTTCTTTATCCATCTCTCAATAAGCACATAGATTGTTTCTACCTCTTGGCAATTTTGAATAATGCTTCTCTGAACATTGGTGTTCAAATGTTCAAGATTCTATTTTCAGTTCTTTTGGATAAAAACCCAGAAGTGGAATTGCTGGATTATATGGTAATTCTATTTTTAACTTGTGGGATAACCACGATACTGTGTTCCATAGCAGGTGCATCATTTTACATTCCCGACAACCCAGTGCATGGGAGTTCGTTTCTGCACATCCTTGTCAACACTTGTTATTTTCTTTTTCTTTCTTCTCCTTAAAAAAATAATGACCATCTTATCAGGAGTAAAGTGATACCTCATTGTGCTTTTGCTTTGCATTTCCCTGATAATTAGTGATGCTGAGCATATGATGTTTTCCTATTCCTGTTGGCCTTCTGTATGTCTTCTTTGGAGAAATGTCTACTCAGGTGTTATGCCCATTTTAAAATAAAGTTTGTTGTTGCTGCTGCTTTTGCTTTGAGTTGTAAGAGTTCCTTATGTATTCTGGATATTAACTTCTTAAAAGATGTATGGTTTGCAAATATTTTTCCCATTCTACAGGTTACCTTTTCACTCTCTGGATTGTTTGATTTGCTGCACAGATGCTTTTAAATTTTATGCAATCTCATTTGTCTATTTTTGCTTTTATTGTCTATGCTTTTTGTGTCATATCCAAGAAATCACTGGCAAGACCAATGTTATGAAGTTTTCCCCATACGTTTTGTTTTTGTTTTTTATTATACTTTAAGCTCTGGGGTATAGGTGCAAACCATGTAGGTTTGTTACATAGGTATACATGTGCCATGGTGGTTTGCTGCATCCATCATCCTGTCATCTACATTAGGTATTTCTCCTAATCCTATCCCTCCCCAATCGCCTCTGCTATCCCTCCCCTAAGCCCCCATCCTGTAACAGGCCACTGTGTGTGATGTTCCCCTTCCTGTGTCCATGTGTTCTCACTGTTCAGCTCCCACTTATGAGTGAGAACATGTGGTGTTTGGTTTTCTGTTCTTGTGTCAGTTTGCTGAGAATGATGGTTTCCAGTTTCATCCATGTCCCTGCAAAGGGTATGATCTCATCTTTTTTATGGCTGCACAGTATTCCATGGTGTATATGTGCCACATTTTCTTTATCAAGTCTATCATTGATGGGCAGTTGGGTTGGTTCCAAGTCTTTGCTACTGTGAATAGTGCCAAAATAAACATATGTGTGCATGTGTTTTATAATAGAATGATTTATGATCCTTTGGGTATGCACCCAGTAATGAGATTGCTGAGTCAAATGGTATTTCTAGTTCTAGATCCTTGAGGAGTTGCCACACTGCCTTTCACAATGGTTGAACTGATTTACACTCCACCAACAGTGTAAAAGTGTTCCTATTTCTCCACATCCTCTCCAGCATCTGTTATCTCCAGATTTTTTAATGATCACCATTCTAACTGGTGTGATACAGTATCTCAATGTGGTTTTGATTTGCATTTCTCTAATGACCAGGGATGATGAGCTTTTTTCATATGTATTTTGGCTATATAAATGTCTTCTTTTGAAAAGTGTCTGTTCATATCCTTTGCCCACTTTTTGATGTTTTTTTTTTCTTGTAAATTTGTTTAAGTTCTTTGTAGATTCTCGATATTAGCCTCTTGTCAGATGGGTAGATTGCAAAAATTTTTTCCCATTCAGTTGGTTGCCAGTTCATTCTAATGATAGTTTCTTTTGCTGTCCAGAAGTTCTTTAATTTAATTAGATCCCATTTGTCTATTTTGGGTTTTGTTGCCATTGCTTTTGGTGTTTTAGTCATGAAGCCTTTGCCCAGTCCTATGTCCTGAATGGTATTGCCTAGGTTTTCTTGTAGGTTTTTTATGGTGTTAGCTCTTACATTTAAGTCTTTAATCCATCTATTAAAATGCATGCTCTGAATGAACAGACCCCCAAGCAGGATTCGTGTGAGCAACATAGCTGTTTATTCACCTGGGTGCAGGCAGGCTGAGAGTCCAAAAACAGAGTCAGCAGAGGGCAGTGAGAGAAGAGTTGGTTTCATAGGGTTGGGGTAGGCAGTGGAAACTTACAAAAGTTACAGTTTAGGGCAGTTTTTTGCAAGCTGGCAAGGGGTCATAGGGTCTGGAGTTATGAGGTTGACCAAGGTCGGTTAAAAGTCCAATTGCCTTATCAATTGAAGTGGGAATAAGGAACAACAGAAGAATGTCTCAAGTTAATTAGGTGCTTCAGGGTTGATCATTCTTCCTGTTTTCATGGTCTTCCAGTTACTTCAGATTTTCTAATTCCAGGAGGCCAACCAGAGGTATACGTGCAGGTCATGGGGGTCGCCATGGTGTCCATGGTGCCATCAGTCAGCCTAAAACACCTTACATTCCTGTATTTTTATATGAGTATCATAAAGGAAAAAGAAATGAAAAGTGGAGGGCAGTGGAATATTAGGAAGGCTGGCACAGAGGGGTGATGGGGCGATGTTTCTCCGGGCTTCTTCAAGCATGATTGGGGGCGGCGCGGAAACCTAAAGATGGGAAAGAATTTAGATTGCTAGGAGATCTTGGGGCACAGGGTGATATTGTGGGGTTGTTAGAAGGAACACTTGTCGTATTGACTGATTGGTTATAGCTTGGATGCAATTTTGTAGGAACTGAGAGATTAATCAGAAAAGGTAAGGTCCAAATAAGAGAAGGAGAAAAATGGGTATAAGGGACCTGCTAATGGAAGGAGCACTGATACCCAGTTACAGAATGGCCAGCTAGGTTCAGAATAATTGTTTGCCTGATTAGCGAGCTTTTGGGCTCTGTCTTTCAATTAATTGATGGCATCACGTACGAGGCCGGACTGGTTTACATAAAAACAACAGTCTTCATTTAGGAACAGGCAAAGACCTCCTCTTTCAGCAGTCAGTAAATCAGGACCTCTGCGGTGTGGAGGACAGTGCAGCTAGGGAATTTACTTGAGCTTGAAGAGGGAGAGTGATTGAGTTAATTCTGCAATGCTAGCAGAGGAATCATTAGAGAGGCTTCGGAAGGTGATAATTGAAGTGGTCAGGCTGCTATGCCTGTGCCGAGTGCAGTAGTCATTCCTAACCCTACAAGTAAGGGGATCGATGAAGTGACCCGCTTGTGTCATGTCGGGACCCCAAAGGGAACAGGGAGGCTTTTGTCCCCATTGGCAAACTGAATTTTGGGAGTAAGGAAAACTAGGGTATGAGTGCCTGTCCAGTTGGTAGGAAGGCAGACATAAGAAGAACCACAGAAGAAAAAAGTCAGCCAAGTTTCTTTTTGTAAGTTTATAAAGTGGTTTGGTTAGGAAGGCAAAAGCTGGTATCCAGAGGCGAAAGTATCCTACAATTCCTACAATGCCTGGGAAGGAGAGAAGCTGTTTTTGTTTGTTTGTTTGTTTGTTTTCTTAGCTTTCATATATCCCTTTATTTCTTGTTACCATGCACTTACAGGGCTCCCAACAGCAGGTCAACCGGGAAAGCATGACAGTGCTGTCCCCCACAGCACAGTGCTCAACACAGCATTAGGGACAGAAGTCATTGGAGTTTAGCACAGGGCACCAATTCTGGGCTGGCTGTGTCTCTGGGAAGAGAGGAGAAGGATTGGGTGTAGTCCTCGGAGGCAGGGTGATGCTTGCAGGGGTAGGAACAATGGGCAGGGGGCACCTGAGGGGTGTCTACAGAGAAGGCAGCGGCCCATCCCAGCTGGTCCCAGGGGATGACTGGGCAGCAGGGGTCCCATGGCCTCGGGCTGGGCCATGGTCCAGTGCATGCACTCGCCCGTGGTCAGGGTGGCCACCTGCTTCATGAGGTTGAACTGCTTCTTCACAGCGGCAATGGCGGCGACGCCTGGGCTCCATCCTGCAGGCAGGGCTACATCCAGACGGCTCCTACGTGGCTTCACAGCTGAGGTGACCTGTGGCTGTGGTGGTGGCTGTGGCTACCTGGAAAGAAGCTGTTGTTTACTGGAT